CAGCAAATTTCTGTTAGTGTGCTTGTAAGGGGGAGTTTAATTATTCAGGAGATTTCTAATTAAACTGTGTTTCCTTTAGAGAATTAATGACACTAAGTTTCCTATATTGCACATTATCAGAAATTACAAATTCCTCTTCATACTATCACAAAATTTGTCATTGCTTAAGAGACATCAAGCCAAATTTAGAATAAATAATTTCTCTAAATTGTAAATGAATGGAATTATAACATAAGTGGAAAATTTATATGTAGTAAACAATAAAAGAAGCTACTAATTGTCTATATACTAATAAACTGCAATCAAAATTAATAATAAAAAATGTATANGTGTATTGTTTATTTAAAAAAGTCTTTCAAAAAATTAATAAAAACCAATTAAAAAAATGATTTTCAATGGAACAGATATAAGATTTAAGCTAAAATTCAGTTATAAAATGTAAGACTAGTGAAAAACTTCACGTCTTTTTTCTTCTAATATCCATATAGTATTTTGAAGAACAAGTGTATTGTTTATTTAAAAAAGTCTTTCAAAAAATTAATAAAAACCATTTAAAAAAAAGATTTTCAATGGAACAGATATAAAAATTTAAGTTAAAATTCAGTTATAAAACATAAGACTAGTGAAAACCTCATGTCTTTTTTCTTCCAATATCTGTATTAAATCAGAGACAAAAGAAAGAAAAAAAAAAAAAAAAAAAAAAAAAAAAAAAAAAAAAAAAAAAAAAAAAAAAAAAAAAAAAAAAAACAAAGATTGAGGTGTAGAACTGACATCTGGCTTTTTAGATGTTTTTCAAGGGAGGAATACAACATTCCAACAACACTGCAGTTGTCTACATCAATTGAACAAGTTATTCAATGTCAGACACATGGAAAATAGAAAAGACTTATTATAGTCAATAATAAAATTTAAAGGTAAAAAAGATTTCTTGTTAAAAACACAAATAAATACATTATTAAAAAATGAATTAACAATGATTCATCTTTTAAGATTGTCAGTACCAGTTAAAAGAAAAAGGTGAAACTATTTCATTATCGAACATTAAAGGAAAAACAAGAATGGAAAAGTTAGTCATAAATAACACTAAATTAAATAAATATATTGCAATTGGGTATGGATTTTAATACTCCAATTTTCACAAAAGCAATAGAGATGATATACCAGAAATCAACATCATGATAAATAAATACATCCAAGATTAAAGAAGAGGAGTAAAGGAACCTAGTATAATATTAAAACAGATATTGAAATAAGGTAAGAAAATAATTCAAGATAGAAAAGGATTAGCTTATAATAATAAATGTAAATTGGTAAAGAGCTATAATTTAAAAATAATAAATTATAAATCATACTGCCTGTTGTTTATAAAAAGAAATAATTTTACTACAGTTTTATCAAAACTTTGGAGGAGAACAAGATTAAAAGACAAAGAACAACAACAGTTAATTACAAAATTTATACTAAATGTATATCCAAATAGATTATTAACAAAATGGATTAAAACTTTATATCTATTTTCTTTATAAGTTAAATTTAAAAAGCAGGATGATAAATATGTATCCTTTCCTTACGTACAAGGTATATTTGAAAAATATAAAAAATATTTTATTAACTTTGATATAAATTCTTTTTGACTTGATATAAATTCATTATAATCCACTTTATTCTTTAGCTTTGCAGCTAAAGAATAAAGTGGATTATAATGTAAGGTTTGACAATCAAATTCAATTGCAAAATGAAAACTTTTCAGGTGTTGTGTTTAAGTTAAATTGTACTTGTAATGAAAAAAATGTATTATATAGGAGAAATAAAATGATTATTGGGAGCAAGACTGAACAAGCATGAAGTGTCCATTTGGTTAAAATATCATCAGTCCCCATAGTTCCCTCATTGTGAAGAGAATTACTATAGAATTGATGATGGTAATATTAAAATATTACATAGAGAAAAAGATTTATATTTATGATGGTTTAAAAAGCATACCCTTAATAATACAATGTAAAAATTGGTTTCATTTAAATAATGGAATGGAGATTAATCCTGTATTGTATGACATAATACTCAAATTATAAAAGAAGTTGCAAATGCAAAATGGGGGTAAAACAAGTTAAATGACTATTATGTTTGAAGGTTAGTGTTTTGTACATTATATTATTTGTAATTAATATATCAAATAACTTTGTTAATACATTTTTTGTGAATTTGTAACCTGAGGAAGGATTAAGAAATTTAATCCAAAATGCATGCTATATAAAGAATAAAATAGCTGTGTTTTTTAAAAAATCTTGGTCTCTGATTTAATAGATATTGGAAGAAAAAAAATTTGAGATTCTCACTAGTCTATATTTTATAACTGAATTTTAACTTAGATATTATTTTGTTTGCATTATTGTTTTGTTATAAATACATCTGTTTATAATAAACATTTTGTTCATTATTCACACAGAAAAAATTTTTATCTATATAATAAGCATGAGAAATTTGCAGCCTTCCATGACTTTCTTTATGGTCTGCATACTATCGAAATCCTTAAATGTATTTTTTGTTTGACGTAATTTACAATAAGTCCATCTGTCCAATAAATGAAAGTCATAATGCTATGAGTGATAAATTTTAGGATCAATTAACCACACTATTCATGTTTCCCTTACAACTTAGTAAATTTTGCAATATGTGAAAATTGAAATTGAGATTGAAATTAGCAATATTTAAGATTCCTTCAAATATTGAAAAAACTAGTCAAAAAGTTGCAATATTAAAGTTCTCACTAAAATTAAGTACAAATATTTTTTATTTTTATCTACAATTTTAATAAAAATTATATAATTTTATTGCTTATATTACAGTTGGACATTACAATATGTAATCAAATTTATATAGTATTTGCATAAAATTCATGTTTTTAGTGTTTTGGCCCAATATATCAAACAGTATTATATGGTCCTATATAAATTTAAATTTATATAGTTTATATAATTTATATTTACTATATAAATTTAAGAAGAAAATTTCTCAAGTAGATTCTAGAGTTCATACTGAGTAAAAAAATTACTCTAATGTGATCCTCAAAAGTTAGTGTATTATATCAACCATTATATCCAGATTAAAGCAACACGAAAACTTATCATTTTATATTTATATTAAATAGTATTAATCCCAATACACCCAAAACTGAATCATAAAGTCTTAGAAAAGTATGAAAATAATTTTCTAAGACTATTTCTGCATTTATATTTCTGCATTTATATTACCAACTGTTCCTTCATACATGTTTACCTGACAGATATATGATTCTTTAAACAATCTAATAACATTGATAACCTTGTTTCCCATATTTATTCTTCGGACTCTCTTATCAGTTATATAGTAAAATAACTATACATTACAAAACTATTGGAAATCAGACTCATATTTATATATCATTTTTAATTCTAAATGATACTAAAATTTATGAGTGAAATAGTAAAGTCTTCTTAAGATTTTCTCTCAGAATAATCTATATATGATTAATTAATGTATTACCTAAAATTCCATTATCTCAGCTATTTTAATGTTAATGTAATAAAAACACAAATTAAAGGATTAAAATAGTTTATTACTGCTCATAAACAATCAATGTATTTATATAATGGCAAATAATACTCATTATAATGACAAACTTTTAACAATTTTCATATGTTTATTTTTAATAAACATTTTTAAAATAATAATAATCAATTTTCTTAATGTAATTAAAATTATCATGATTATACATAATACAGAATGAAATTGACATGTTTAATTAATAATCATATTATTAAGATAAACAGACAACTGATTCACAATGTAGTAAATAACTTAGATTATCTTAAATTAAAAAACTTAAGATTTAGTTTTTTTTTTATTTTAAAAGTAATTTTAATAAACATTTGTTTAAATTGCAGTTTTAGATCATTCATAACAAACTTATTTAATATATTTCTCGTTAAATGATCTTTTGACTCAATAATTTCTTTTCATTATGTTTAACATTTAAATAAACTAATACATTTCAATTATATCATAATATGACATTATGCAATATGCATTTCTATGTGTCTCTTTATCCTTACAGGCCATTTGAGACATAAAACTTGTATGGTATAATGATAATGATAGTGAAGAATCAGTATAATGTGTAAGTATCACAAATCACAATATTCAAACCTTTTACAAAACTACATATGCACACCAAGTCCTCATTTTATATTTATTTATTTTTTTTAAATGTTTATAGTAGTAAATTTAAAAATAAACATCCAATCTTCAATTATATCCAACAAATTTTTCATATGATAAAAATATACTAAACTGATTTTGAGTTTAAAATCAATAATTACTGCCTTTAGGCCTGGCCTTGAAAAAGATAATTTGATATTTTATATCAGATTATAATTTGCATTCAGAATACATCAGGAGGATTCTAAATCAGATTATATACTTTACTCAATATTGGAACTAAATTATAGGGAGGAAGGAAAAAAAACTTATTTTCAAAAGGCTTTACATTTTATAATTTATTTTTATTAATAATATCCCTTTTTACCTAAGCAGACTTAGTGTACTTCAATTAATTATTATATACATTTATTTTTATTATAAGAAGGAAAATATTGTACAATTAATGTATTATCTGTTACAAAATGTATATATATTTTATTCATTCAACTTCTCAATTTTAATTAAAACTTATAAATTATTTCTTATAAAATATAATTAAATTAATTATAATTACATTTATATAATAATTTAAAAATATATACTCTTTTAAAAATAAAAATATATACATCTTGTATATTTATAACTGATATAATTGTTTTTAAAATAATTATAAAAATTTAAACCATTCAAAAAGTCTTGAAAATGGTGTTAAAAATAAAAATAATAAATATACATTAAAAATAAATGAAATTTGCAAAATAAAATTACCATATTAGAATATTTTTTTAGACCTTTCATATATAATATGAAATTTTTATTCAATTTGAAAGGTTTATGTTAAATCCATTGCTAGTATTATATATTTCCAATTTCATTATTTAAATTGAAAATATAGCAATTATTCTATTTCACTTTTTAATTAATTATTTAAAATGACCACATATTTTGATGTAATGATTAAAGCTAGGACATATAGGCATTAAAAATCATAAATACCTATAACTTATATGAGTGATAACATAAGTATAACTTGTATGATTTCCATAATATTTATATGATTTTTAGTGCTTAGATGTCATAGCTTTAGGAATGATTAATGATTGCTGTTTTGTTTAAAATATATTTTGTCCTCATAGTTAAGCTGTTCCATAACCTTGACTACCATAACGTATGGCAATTTGGAACCTTTCCCTGAGTTCTTCTCTTGTTGGATAATTTGGCAATTTTAGTAAATTAATACTGAAAATTAAAAATTGCATGTAAATAAAAGTTATTAATGTTAGAAATAATATTTGAAAAAATTTAAATAAAAAACAAAAGTTTCAACAAGTAATAGAAACTGTTATTGAAAACAACAAAATTACAGTTGCAATAACTAATATACATAGTAAAGTCAAGAATAAACCAAACTTTTAATATAACTTTTACTATGTTAAGAGTACAAGTATTTATAGATCACCACCTTCAAAATAGCATCTTCTATAGCTATATACTTCTGGCTAATGTTCATACCATTTGTCAAAGCAACTGGAAATCATTTCTTGTAATGTCTAAGGATGCTAGTTTGCTGCAGTTTTCACCTTGGCTTCTATTTGTTGTTCTTGGTCAGTAAATATCTAATCAAAAAAGGGCATAACCATATTTTCCCAATTTTCTTAGTCTCTAGACTTATCTGTTACCTAAAATGAAAGGGAAGTTGAAGAGATCCAGATTTTAACAAGCAGAAGAGTAAAAGTTGCATCAAAACCATTACAGGCTTCTAGAAATGCTTTGAGAAGTTGTATAACTCTAGCAAAAGTATGTTGCTGCAGAAGCCCATGCTTTGAAAACAGTGTAATTTTTTCTGTGTTGTGTAATAAAATCTGTATCAAACCTGGTTTATTTTTGGCTCTACTACTAAACTATGCATTTACTTATGTACATTATTGGACTGTGGAGAATCATCATATATATGTATTTGATAATTTAATTGAAAAATAAATTTAATTTTAGTATTAAATTGCATACTCCAAGTTTTTTGTAAACTGAGATATGCTTACAAAATTAGGATGTTTCTAACTTTAATGAGAGCAATAAATTTAATAGGAAATTTATGTTAATGAGTAATTTTATTCTCTTATTACAGAAAGATTTATTTTAAAAACTTAATAAAAAGTTTGATTATTTCATCTTTACCAAGTACTAGCTGATGGTAAAATATTTGGTCTGTAAGGGACTTCAGAAATAGAAAATAGTTGTGGTCCATCAACACCAGCTAATTGGGAAAATCCACCATGTGGTACTCGAGAACTTCCAGTTACAAACTGCAATAATTTAGCCCTGTCTTCTTGAGCCATATTCTTCACTTCTCCCCAAAACCACTATAAATTATAAACAGAAGAAACTAACTTAATAAACTATCATATTGGAGACTATAACTTTGTGTAAAACTCAATCTGTATGGAATAATTCACAAATTATTTTTTGTAATCTCTCAATATAAACACTTTATTTATGTGAAATTACAGTACAGTCGACCCCCCTATAATTACGGTCCCTATAATTACGATTCCTATAAAACTACGAAAAAATATATGTATTTTGGAAATGTTGAGTCGGATTAGTGTAGAATCGATTAATTTTATGGAAGAAAACCTTTCAATCAGCCGTAGTCCGTAAACTTGACACGTGTCGGGCTGTGATTGGAACGACTTGTAAGAAATCGGATTCCTAATAAATTGGAACGTATCTATATCTTATAGGGGGGTCGACTGTATTCATTTAAATATTTAAGATACTTTTCCTGAAATTTTTTATCAAAAAAATATATACAGTAGAGCATCGATTATCCGACTCAATTGGGGACTGGAGTTGGTCAGATAACTGAAAAAACGGATAATTGAAAAATATGAAAAAATACATTATTAGTATAGTATATTAGTATATCCCATGTAATTAGTATATCGCTATTAACCTACTTCACGTTGAATTTTCATCGATGTTAAGCCTAACAAAAATTTTTTAAAATAATAATAGTCACTATTGTATTGTTAAAAATTAGAAAATTAANCATTGCTCACTGAAACAAGATTTATTCTGCGAACAGCGAGAAACGAAACACAATTTGAAAACAAAAAACTGACAGAGTTAAACATCAAATACAAATTAATAAAATTAAGAACATATAAATTTGTATTATCTAATTAATCTACTAATTTGAATTACAATGTGAGAATTAACCACTTCTTCATAAATAAAATTTTTGCTGATTACAAGTATTTTCAGTTTAATTTAGATCATCTTCAAGTTCTCTATCTTTTGAATACATTAAAGAATTTGTTTCAGCATGAAGCTGATAAATATTTGAAAGATAAAGAATCTGAAGGTGGTCTAAATTAAACTAAAACTATTTGTACTTAAATAAAATTTTTGCTGATTATAACAATATGTTAAGATGATAATAAGAATTAAATTTTTTTATTTTTATTACTGAGTCTCAAAAGTATTTTATAGTATAATTAGCCCTTGTATGACATGACACTTCTACAATGAGGTTTCACTGTGCATTTTCGAACTGTGTTAGAGCAACTAACACTGTTCAAAAATTGGGGAATATCTTCCATACAGCATGGTTTCTGAAAGGTTTTGTTCTAACATGGTTTAAGAATTTGGAAAATCCTCTGTACAAAGTTTCACAATTTTTAAGCACAAACTCCATTATTCTATATTTTTTCTTCAAGTAAGCATGTGTGTTTGCCCACGGATTTTAGAATATTCAAATTTTCAAATCTTGGTTGCTTGTTGTTCTCTATTATATGTATTTTCTTAGCACAGTGTTGCCGTTGAGAACATATCACACAGGAACACTTTCAGAGGAAAAAGGTTGTTTTATTGGTGTAAACGTATATGCATTTCAGGCTTAACACCCCTCTTCAGTCCTATTATTACATATTTATCAGTAAATTGATTACAGGTTTACAAATTTATAGAATGCATTAAAAAAATTAGGATACACGTACAATGGTTTATATAATAAAACTTAATTACCTGAGATAGTAACAGTTAAACCAACATGACTTGTAAGAAGATATATATGTAGTTGAAAAAGGAAAAAGGAGCTAAAAGTTCTTTTGGCTCCACACATATATACATTAGGATAGTATAACATGTGCTAAAATAAAAAAGGGGTGAACTTAAATCTAAAATTAAGTATATATTAAGAGGTGGAATTTTTTAAAAATTGATAACGGAATATCCCGTAGGGTGTGAAATAATTCTGATGAGATGTACAGAGAACATAGACAAGATATGAGAGGTTAAAAAGAAATGAGTAATCCATGTAACATACACTGAAAGGTTGGTGCACTCTGTAAATTTACACACCTGTAATCAATTTACTGATAAATATGTAATAATAGGACTGAAGAGGGGTGTTAAGCCCGAAATGCATATCTGTTCACACCAATAAAACAACCTTTTTCCTCTGAAAGTGTTCCTGTGTGATATTTTTGCTATTTGCTCAACAGCAACATTGTGCTAAGAAAATACATTGAAATTTTCAGTTTGTTTTGTACTTTTTGTCAGATTTAATGAAAACTGATAGTGCAGTTTTTCCTTCTTCCTTGTTCTAGCTTTCCTATCAACAAGGTGTCATCATTGTTGCTTTCTGATTTACCTTTAAGACTGTCACTGTTTTGTTTTTATAGATCAATCTTCATACTTAGTAAACTTTATTTAAACATTTTAGGTAAGTGTTATTAAACTTTTTTTAACTGTACATTTGACTTGATAATTGAAAAATGTAAATATATAGTAAACAATGTAAATAGTAGAAACATCAACCTAAGAGGAAAAGCTTTAATATATAATATGCAAATATGCAGCAAGATACAGTTTATGGCATATTTTATCTCAATTCCCCACAATGTAATTAAAAAGATTGAATCATTAGGCTTTAAAACATTAATATGGAATAACAAATCAGATAATTAAAGAAACACATAATGGTTAATAAAGTACAGGATAGAGGAATAAACATGACCCATCCAGAGACAAAAATAAAAGCTAAAATTCTCAATCATTTAAAATAATTAATTCTGGGAGACAATAAGCTATGTGAACCATAGGCTACATACTGGATAGGAATGAAATTACAAAACAGCAATAAATCCTTAAACTCAAATCTAAGAATGAGAAACTAGATACCATCACCTTTCTATCAGGAACCATCCAAAATATTTACAGAATTTGTAAAAGGGCAAACAGACAGACTGAAAAAAAAAAACAACACCAAGTCCATCCATCTACCACACATTATTGAATAGAATAAAAGAAGAACCACATATTGTAAAAAAAAAAAAAAACCCAAATGTAAACCATAAGAAAAATGGTAGCTCATCAAAAAAATAAAATCCACTCCGAAAAATATTGATATGCACTGGTTAATGTCTCACGATCTCCTAGCTACTGGACACTTCCTTCACTCTCATCACATAGTATCTCAATCTCACTTGCTGTGCAAAGTGTGCAACAAGACAGAAACAACAAAACACCTCTTTTACAAATGCCAAAGAACCATGAGAATACACAAACACACTTCTTCAGAAATGCAAAAAATGTAAAAATCAAAAAATTTACTGTGAAGACAGCAACTTTCAAAGAAAAAGAAAACTGATGTGAACAATGTGAAACATTGCTCACTGAAACAAGATTTATTCTGCGAACAGCGAGAAACGAAACACAATTTGAAAACAAAAAACTGACAGAGTTAAACATCAAATACAAATTAAAATACAGACTAACAACAGTAGTAAAAATGTGAAGAATGAAGCTACATGAAGAGCATTTGAGAAAAAATGAAAAAACATATGACATACTGTAATGTATTATGTAACATGTTCATTAAAAACATGTAGAAATAACACAAACATGTAAAAATAAACATACAAAAATGTACATGAACATATACACAAACATGTAGAAATAAACATACAAAAATGTACATGAACATATACACAAACATGTAGAAATAAACATACAAAAATGTAAGCAAACCCTATGTAAACATAACATCAGTTATGCAATGAACAGAATACTTGTAATTAATTTCTGTAAATAAACTATTGTTTATTAAAAAAAAGTAATCATCAAGTAATGACAAATGAAATACAGCAGTATCTCATTACTTAAACTGTTCCAAACTCAAACAATTTGGTATTCGAACACAAATTCTGGTGGGAGAATTGCTTGGTAAACGACTGCAATTGAACAAACACGACCCACTTAAACAAACTTTTTATTAATAACATTTTTATTTTGTCATATNATGTAAACACAGTAGGCTAGAATTGTTTCGAGAATTTCCTGAAAATGTCTGTAGATGGCAATATATGCCATAGAACTCCATATTGCCTCAAACTGGCAGCATGACAGTGTCAAGCATCAGTCATTAGAAGCAGTACCATGGTAGACAGGCCATGGCTGAATAGGAAATTAGGCGATTCATCAGTTAACAAGGTCATGGATTCTGATTACCAACTGTCAGGCATTGATGTTTCAACCACAAAGTAAAACTGAGGTTAGTGTTGCTTGGCATTATCTTTATCCTAATACGGTGTTTGCACACAATCCACGACTCACTTTGATCTTGATTTAACCACACAGGCAGTCCACTTGAGAAGAACCCGGCTATTGCATGCAATGATAAAACTGACATAACTACTTGATAGGTCATGAACATCAACAAACAAAATGGAAGTTTTGGTTAGATATAAATACTTTTTCTTGCAATATATCTGATAATAGTCAGATCTCGTCGTCTCTCCAGTTATCTTTTTTATTTATCTGTCGATAGCCCGACATGTGTTCTGCAGCCATCTTGTTTCTTCTTGCACGTATGTATAAACTTTTTAAACAAACCACAAGATAACTGTCCTGATGGTTCCTGATAGCTATTTGTGCAATTGTGCTGATTATTTAATTGATATTCTAAACATCCCCATTTCACTCATCTTGTTAAAAAAACAAATAACCTGTGAGTACTTTCCTGCTTTTCTGTAAATCACCTATATTGCAATTGACCTGTGTAGATGAGGCCTAACATTGGACTTGTCAGAGGAAAACTCTATTAATAAAGATATTAAAACTCACTCTCTTGGAAGTAATAATAGCTATCAGAGATATAATACAGCCTACTGGGAATAAGTATGTTGTATATAAAGCAACATTATCTTGAACTGCTACTACAAAGAATCACAGAAGTATACTTAGATAACATGAGATAAACTGGAAAACCAGGAACTAAAGTATTTGATTTTGAAACAGATTCAAATACTAGGCAACAACAGTAGTCACAAGATAAAAACAAATAAAACTCAACAGT